CACCCAATAATTAAATGTGACATTCAGTAGTTTTGTCTCATATCCATCTTTTAATAATATTTACAGATTTATTGACTCAACAGCAAACAGAGCGATTTTGTCATTACTGTCCCAATACTTATGGAGGGCACAGTATATATATATATATATATATATATATACACATACATACACAAACAAAAAACATTATTATTTTTATATGGTAATTTATGTATATTCAATATATTTTATTTTTTATATTTATTAATTTAAAAATATTCTTCAATAATAATAAATACAAATTACAATCTGTATTAACCATGTCTTGTTGTAAAAAGCTATTTTAAAATATTTCAAGAGACTTATCTATGTTACTTATCTATGCATAATGAGGGTCTTTTATTTTTATTTCGTTTTTGCATTTTATTGCACTTGATTTTGCAGACATATGTTTGTCAAATGTTAATTTTATCCTTTTAATAAGGATTTTCTTTGTGATATTAGAACAGTTGTGTCACTCTAAATTTAATTCCGTAATTAAAAAACATGCTTGCATCATCATTGTATGTATGATTTTTTAGTGCAGTTTTTTTTTAGCATTTCAATGTTTTAATGTATTTTTGAATAAACTGGTAGGACCAAAAACAAAAGCCTTGTAATTGACCCATGTATCATCTTTTGTATTATTTTATTTGAAAAAAAAAAACAAACAAAAAAAAACTGCAGACATGGACTAAATGTTTATACTCACAGTTTACAGATGTCAGTGAAGTTGACAAAAGATGTTTTCTTGGTCCCAACTCGGACCACCTGAGGTGGCTTCATCACAAACTTCCTCTTCTCCCCTGCCACCATATCAGGGTTCTTCTCCCTCATGATGTTAAACACCCGGCTCAACAACTGTAAAGATGCAGATATGGAAATAATGACACTCCAAATCAAAGGAAAACTATGCCATTAGCGTGGGGTAGAAGTATATCAGATGTGTGAGGAATAAGAAGGATTGCTCATCATATGAATAATCATCATACCTCATCGTAGGTGTAATCTCTCTCTGAACCAACCCATGCTGGGCCCGACTGTGAACTGAATGTAACGCCATCTGTGCTTTTATCATCCTCAATGACTACAGGGAAATATAGGTGAAGAATTCACACAATCTAATATTTAATCATCGCCAATAAAATCTTTTTCATATAGTATCTGGTATTACCGTAGCTCTTTCTGGAAAAAACATAAGATATAACTGAGCTGCATAATTAGACTAATTAAATGAAGCGTGTCTTCATACCATCATCCTTTTCCACAGTATCACTTTCCTCAAAAAACTCCACTTTTTTTGACTTCTTTTTTTTAGTTGGAAGCATCATATCAAATTCATCGTCCTCCATCATTTCCTGCTGGTCTCCCTCAATTTTCAGCTCCTGGTCACCAATAAAATGAAAAGAGCCAACAGCCTTTAGAAGAACTATCCAATACAAGAAAATAAGCTCAATGGACGTCACGTTAGGAATCATTATACCAGACAGCTAAAAAAATACAATACCTGAAATGTAATAGACCCACTTTATATTAGGTGTCTAACTATGCACTTATGTAAAAAAAAAGAAAAGATAATTGTCAGGTACAATGTACTTAATGTTGCATTGCAAAACACTTCTGATGTGGGAAATGAATAAAGTTAAGAGACAGGTTTGGCGGTATGGTTAGGTTTATGTGTGGGGCAACTACAGAAATCAATTACAGATATAATTACATACAGGCATTTTTTTAAATACGTATAATGTAAAAACATGTATTTACAAAGTAAGTGCAATTTATCATGATTAATTTAAGTGTTAGTACATAGTAGTTAAAGTTATTAGTAGATAAACTATATAAAGTGGGTCCAATTTCTTTAAATAATAATATTAATAATGATTAATAATGCAACACACTAAATTAAAGTTGGTATGAAACGAAAGTTGTGATCATCTTTTTTCGCTGTTGTGACGTATACAGGTGCATCTCAATAAATTAGAATGTCGTGACTTAAACTACTTCAGTCTGTGTGCATTGAATTTATTTAATACACGAGTTTCACAATTTGAGTTGAATTACTGAAATAAATGAACTTTTCCACGACATTCTAATTTATTGAGATGCACCTGTAAGTGAAACGCCTTCTTGAACAAGAAAATATGTTTTTGAAGATTCCAAGGGCACATTAATTTTTTTCAAATAATGATGTGCATTGATAAATCATTCAAATGTTAGCACAGTGGTTAAAGATGAAGTGGGCCTAATGTAATCACACAGATATGGTCACATATGCCTGGTCACAGGCATTTCCGATAAGTGGTGAAAAGCATTTCATGTGCATTGCATCATTCCCTGGCAATCTCCACATAAACAATTACCTTCATGCCCTCCTCAATGTCATTTTCAAACACCTTCTTCGGTTTCTTTTTCTTCTTTTTCTGGTTAAAGAAGTTCAGATCATCTAAATCATCCGAAGGCTCTGTGAAGATCAAACTGTGTCATAAACGGCCAAAAGTACAATCCTGAAACCGCACTATGCACAAACTCTACACGTGCAATGACATTTTCAAGTTTGCGATTTAAAAGCATTTGTTGAGAATCATTTGACTAAATCCGAGGCCCAGAGGTAAAAGAGAAGAGCAAAACACTTCACTGATGCTCATACTTGCATCTTCTCACCCTTTTTCTTGACTTCATCATCTTCAGGGTCCAGTTCTCGCTCCTCTGCTGCTTCAGGCTCAGCTTCGTTCTGTTCAGTCTGCTGAGCCTCCTCTCCATCTCCATCCTCGTCGAGCATGAAGGGCTTCTTCTTCTTCTTCTTCTTCTTTGTTGTGGTGGGGTCGAATAAAATCTGAGGACACATAACGCACCAGGTTCATTTGCTCAAACATGCCTCAATGTCCTGAAGGATACAATACGGAGCTCAACTCTTTTTACTGCTCAAGCAATGTTGAGTATGATTTACTTTAGTTTTTGTATTTTATACAATTAGAAACAATACGCAATGACATCAAAACGTGCAACCATACAGCACGACGTTAACTGCTCTCATAATCTATGCCAAAAGTCACAACATAACTGAATATTTCCACTCAGCTGTCAACAATAACAAAAGATACACATAGACCACCACAATACCTCGTCTTCTGACATGATGACTGAATCAAATATTGCTGTTTCTCGTCGTGTTAAATCTCGTAGACACGGTTGACACTACTGTTCTTATCCACTGTCTTGCATCAGCACAGGCGACTGAGGCGAGCTTAGCGCGCAAGCGTGCTTCCGACGACAAATTATTACATCGTTATGACGGCAACATTACGCGACTTTCCTTGGTACTGCTGATGATTTCAATCGATTACAAGATTTATGTTCAGTTTTACATGTATAGTAATAATTATGATTGTTGTTGTTTGTTTTGTAGCTTCTTCCAGACATATATGTAGAACACCACGAATCGAAGCGAATTGTTAATCAAATAAGCAAGATTTTTTTCAGAAGCAAACAGCCATGTGCTTTATTGAAATTCATGAATCCACCCAAACCCCTTACCAACATGAATGTAAAATAAAGAACATCAAAAGGAACTTGGCAACGAATACAGGGGCAAGAACAAAAGAGTGAAATGAGCAACTAGATGCAGTAACAAACACCATGCCCCACTCTTCTTATGATTTTCATCAGTCAGCCAAGAGGCATTTCACAGTCATTTAAAAGACATGCCACTCAAGTTGCATCAGCATGCCATTCATTAAGGCACATAACACAGCAGACACGTCTTTATATGCTTTTGAGTGCAAGAGCAGGACAGAAGTTATTGTTTTATATATAATTTCAACAAGAACTAAGGTGTATACTACAGAAAGACTAACAACACCAGAGAAAAGGAATCCAGGTTTAATGATCTCTCAAATAAAAGCCATCTGAATTTTTTGAAACATACAAATGTACACATATGCCTCAACCTGAATAGATACAGCATTTTTGCATCTCAAAAAAGTATATGCTTCCATACGAGGAAAAAAAAATGTGGTATAGTTTTTGTATAATTACAACCGTCTACTATCAGATAAACCCTCAGCACATCAATAAATCAGGCCTGAAAAGAGCACAATAGGAAAGATCTGTTATTAAATAGGTCATTTTCTGCAACTCATCAGCATGCCATTCATTAAGGCACATAACACAGCAGACACGTCTTTATATGCTTTTGAGTGCAAGAGCAGGACAGAAGTTATTGTTTTATATATAATTTCAACAAGAACTAAGGTGTATACTACAGAAAGACTAACAACACCAGAGAAAAGGAATCCAGGTTTAATGATCTCTCAAATAAAAGCCATCTGAATTTTTTGAAACATACAAATGTACACATATGCCTCAACCTGAATAGATACAGCATTTTTGCATCTCAAAAAAGTAGATGCTTCCATACGAGGAAAAAAAAAAGTGGTATAGTTTTTGTATAATTACAACCATCTACTGTCAGATAAACCCTCAGCACATCAATAAATCAGGCCTGAAAAGAGCACAATAGGAAAGATGTTATTAAATAGGTCATTTTCTGCAACTATTTGGATGCAGCACCAAACAAAATATGATGGGCAGTCAGATTTATATATATATATATATATATATATAATGGAGCTAATGTTAGTCATTTCAATTTGTTATTTGTCACCAAACCATATGTCAATGTCAACAAACTGTAAAAAAGCTTATGCTGTTGGAAGTGCTTGAATAAGATTAATTTAACAGAACACATTGAGATCAAAGATCGAAGCAAACAACAATATCAAATATATTTAATATATCAGATGAGATGAGAGCGTATTGACCATGTATATGAAAATTGTGTATTGGCAAATCTCCATGACAAAAAAAAACAACCAGTTTCTGAATAGTAGAGAGGTCAAAAAACACTTCTATCAAAAGAGGGAAAATTAGAAACACCAATGCATTACCTAAATAACCATGGCCAAACATTTAAGGGTCACTTCATATATTATGTCATCAGATTTTATTGTCAGATTAACTTGCTTCATATCCATTTTCGTTGTAACTCTTGTTTTTTTCTGGGCTTGTTTTATCCACTCTGCAAGAGCTATGGTAAAATGTGTTTTGTAGTGTTAACCCTCTGAAGGTTCTCAGGTTTGCCTGCCCAGGCCAACCACGACGAGCAACGAGAGTCTGTCAGATTGGGTAAATTTACATGGCCCATGCTTTGAGTTCTTCCATGTCATCCTCATCCTCCTCTTCTCTCTTTCTTTGGGCTGGGGAAACACAAAGGCAAATAGTTATAAGGGTTTCCACAGGGGAAACTCTCAAGACGTCTTTCTACTTGTGTAATCCACTTTTCAAGTCCAATTTCACATGTATTGTCTCATATGTAAAATTTTGAAAGTAGTTTGTGAGATATAAAAAAAAAAATTCTATGTTAGTATTATGTTGATATGTACTGAACAGCATGAAACGAACCAACAGGTTTCTTGGGTAATGGGTTTGAAGGCACATTGGGCAGAGGGACATCCTCTGTGCCACCAATTTCCAGCAGGTTCTTGTCCAGCTCCTCCTGTTCCAACTCCTCCAATTCAGCCAAAAGCTCATCCTAGAAAGGGAAAGAATCGCATTGTTCGGTCAACATATGTAAAAACTGCATTTGAAGAGATACGTCTATGTAAATTGTATTATCAAGCATTTCACCTTAATCAGAGAGTTAGATAGTACCTCTCTAAAAAATATAAGTCCAGTCAGGTAAATATTTCTATTTTGCTGTTGTTGTTGTTTTTTTTAAGTTGAAATGAAAAATTTACAATAATGTCTGATTTCCTAATAATTTGGTTCATCTTCATTTTGCTTTAACATTAGCAACACTTGAGCTACATGTTTTCGCTTAAACCTGATGATGTTCTTAACTTAACAAGATGATCCAAAGAGCAAAAACATCTGAGAGTCACAGGATCAGTATGACAAGTTTTCTTAAAATAATGCAGAATCTTAAATCATTTTTATTTAAGTCATAATGCTTCTTTGTTTGATATTTTTAAATCCTAACAAGTTCTGTTGAGGAACTTTGAATACCATACAGAAAATATGGGATTTTTTTTAAAGGGGATTCAAATTCTTGAAAGCTCCTCAGTGTGTATCAAACATCACACAATTTCGCTCCCTTTGTCTCAACTCACCTCATCATAGTCTTCTCCAAAACCTACAGGCCTTGAAATGGCATCAGAAATCTCCTGTGCCAACTCCTGCTGCTCTGTGATGTCCTGCATGAGGTCGTCCACTTTGTCTATATCCCTGACAACAATCAATAATATTAAATCAATATATATTTTTGCACATCACTAACTGCATTCTGTGATACAGATTCAATAGGAAATTTGACTCGGGCATCTTACATGTTTTCATGCGCTGTCTTCATGGCCTTGGCTGCAAAGCCCATGTTTTTAAGCACTTCTGTGTTTGTATTAGCATTCTCTAATGCTTCTCGCTGGAACTCAATAGTGGAGAGAGTGCCATCTATCTGAGCCAGCTGCTTCTCATATCGCTTCTTTCTTTTCAGGGCCTGTAAAGCAGCTAAAAAAAAGGGATAACAAACATGCACAAAATCAGTTTCATATATATATATATATATATATATATATATATATATATTATACACACACTATAACTTAACTTTTTTTTTAAGTTAATCAACAAAGTTAACATTCAAGATTAAGACTGAACCATACACAAACAAGAGATTCCCAGCATGTGGGATGTTTCGTTATGGTAAACAATGCACTCGATTAAGTCAATGGCTGTTATTTCACAACACAACACATGACACTAATCAGACGTAACTAAGTGATATGAAACGCAATCCTTTATTTAGCCCAACTCTTGGATTTAGTTCCTTGACAGCAAGGATTTTAATTTTCGTATCCTACCTGGCATGGGTGTTATATTAATAAACTGACTTCATAGTTTCGATTATCAGTGAGTTTAAGGCAAGTGTCGCATGGGTGTAGCTCCCTAACTAACATCACTGAAATCGGCGAGAGAAGAGAGAAGCTTTCTTTTAAAAGTTATTTAAGACACCTATGGTCCTTATCACATGAAGGCTCGGTTTTAAATACATACCTCGTTTGTTTTTCGTGCCGTTTTTCTTTGCTGTTATTAGTTCCGCATCAATCTTTTGCTCCAAGTACTCTTGTTTCTTGGTTAACATCTCTTCTGTCTCGCGGAGTTTCTGGATCGCTTCTTGTGGGCTTGGGCCTTTGCCTCCTTTCCCCCCACCGCCAAACAATTTGCCGAATACAGACATATTGTTTTGTATTTTGCGAAACTAATAAATCCCTCCGAGTCGGTTTGTCTCTAGACACTACTGATATAAGCTCAGTCGCTGTTCCGCGTTCAGCTGTTGATCGTCTTACTTCCGCCTTCAGGCCCGCTGACGTCATGGACCGCGTCACGGGCATGCCACCTATCAACGCGCGGCTGCTGAGCAGCAAAACTACAACTCGTGACCAAACTAACGATTTAACACTTTTGTTTGATTATTTAGGCCACCCTTTTTAAACTCCAGATCTAGTTCGCGTTTTCTTTAGTGCCATAGAAAATGATTTAAGGAAACATTTGGGTTCACAAGAAAGAGGCCTTGGCCAAATTTAGGTCATGATCTAGTTAATGAAGAATGAAGATGTTCATGTTTAAGTGCAACTATTTAATAGAAAGCATATTTAAATATTGAAATCAATCAATCAATCAATCAAAATACAGCAAACAAGAATATTCAGCTAACTGCAGTTCCGCAGTTCATTTCTATGATTTATGGCATTAGCTTATCATAATCATTCATTGATGTGTATGAATTTGTTATACTGAAATTATCTATAGACATCTTTTTAATAAATGTCATGTTGTAATGTTTGCCAGAGAGTATCATGGACCTTTGTAAGATTGTTGTGTGCCACTGTGTCTGAGTGAATATGCAGGAGGTATGATGAGGTATGGGGGGGCTTTGTTCCAGATCAGTATTACAAGAGTGCCACACTTTCAAAGTGTGTGCGAGACCTCTTTCATTTTCAGTAACCTACATATTCTGCTGGTAAAAGTTGTACAGGCCATTATTTCATGTTTTTTTTTTCTTTTACTTTTAGTATCATTTTTGTATTTCAATAAATAAATAAATAAGATGAAAGATTAATTGGTCTTTTTCTTGACTTTTTGGGAAAAAAGAAGCGAGAAATACTGAAATTTTACAGTTTGTTACTCTGTGTTGCATACACACATTTCATCACAGTACACTGTTCACTGACACTCCATTTGCACTTCCTGTGTTTCTCACCCTGCATGTTGTTTATATCGTGTGTATATTATGTGTTTTGTGTTTAATATGTTTACATTTATTATTATTTATTTTGTTACCTACACTTGTTTATATGATGTGTGTGGAATACTGTCAATATGATGCTACTGCTGCATGATGCCTGCATTTTCACCCAGCATTACACTAAATTTTTCAAATTTAGAAGACCACCAATAGTTTGCATAGGATTTATGAAATGCATATATCACTCACAATAACAAGTCATTGTATATGGAGAATTGGGTTCGGCATAACATATTAATTGTAAACCAGCTTATTGACAAGAATGGGCAATTATACACTTACCCTAATTTTATTACAAAATATGGCTTTTTTGTAAACGAAAAAGAATTTAACAAAGTAATCAAGGCTATTCCTAGTGGCATAATAATTTTAACCAAATTCTCTGATGTGAATATTAATAATACAAGCCTACAAAATGACCAACTTTTTGTAAATGGTCTCTCCTTTTTTGACAAGCGCTTTAATAACAGTTTTATAAGAAACTCCCTTAATGTCGGATCCAATCCTCCATGTAAATCAAAATGGCTTAAACCTCATTGTATATCTTGGCGCAGCATTTGGATGTTACCATATAAATATGTAATTTCTAATAAAGTAAAAGAAGTACTTTACAAAATTATTCACAGATATTATCCTGTAAATGCAGTTGTTAGCAGATATATTCATAGTGTTTGTGATAAATGTACCTTTTGTAATGTATCTGTTGAAGATATTGAACATTTATTTTTCTATTGCCCTTTTTCTATTTCATTTTGGGTTGACTTTAAAATAGACATAACAAAAAAATTAAACAAAGCCCTTAATTTAGAACCTCATGATATTTTACTTTGTTATCATAACCCATCGTTCTCTGATAAACATAATTATATTATTAATCTGTTACTTATCTTAGCAGAGTTTTATATTCATAAGTCAATTGAAGTGGATCAAAAAAGTTAATCAAAGTTGTCCTAAGGCAAGAAGAGGTTTTAGGACACCTTTGATGAAAGGTTTTGATCCACTTTAAATGTTGACTACTGTATATCGATATTGCGATATTGAACGTAGGCTACTACAGCACAATAACAACATCCTTGTTCGCCGTATTTGAATTTTTATCGTACATAGCTAGTAATTTAAATAATCTATGGACAGTGGGAGTTCACATGTAGGAACTATTTTCTTTCGCGGAACAACACGGAAAGGCAATTCTTCTCACAGATTGATTTTAATTGATACACAATGGAGCGCGCTACAAATGACAGGTGTTCCTCGGTAATAATTAAAGTCACACAAAAACAGCCCCAACGGGACGGAGCCCGCTTGCAGCTACACTGAAGGATATGCTTCTGTGCTCCACATTACACCAGGTAACTGTAACTAACATTGTTTCCTCAGAGGGGTTCTTGTTTTAATAATGAACTTTTAAGTTAGCTATTTTTACTTTTTGCCCATCAGCCACAGTTGCTGGCGAAGGATTCGCAGATATGGTCTTTTCATATAGGCCTCTATAAATAACCCAAGTGAAACTGAACACGGAGCATCAAATCACGTTTTGTTCTTTTTCGCGTTTTAATAATTAAGTTAATTGAACTGAAAAGTAATCCTAGTGAGGGCGAGGGCATTCCTGTAGCCTTTAATCGGCTAAAAGTTACAGGAATCCGTGTACTTGTGCTCCTCCTACCAGTCTTACAATTGTTTCCTAACATTTCACAGTAAGATTCCACTTGCTAACATAGTGAACTACATTAGTTAACAAGCAACAACAATGAAAAATACTTCCAAAGTGTTTAGTTATCATAGTTAATATTAATTTCAACGTTTACTAATACATTATTAAAATCGAAGGTTGTATCTGTTAATTTTATTTAATGGACGTGAACTAACAATTAACAGTTGTACTTTTATCAATTAGAAAAAATGTAACCAGTGATTTCCTCATTGTTCAAGTGTTACCAAATTTGTTAATTAAAAGCCTTGATAGTGGGGACAAAAGAATAACGTTTTTCTGATCATAAGGTGCTGTTTTGCAGAGTGCGTCTGAAGGATGAATAGCAGTGGACCAGCATACCCGTTAGCCTCTCTCTATGTCGGTGACCTTCATCCTGATGTCACTGAGGCCATGCTGTACCAGAAGTTTTCTCCTGCTGGTCAGATCATGTCCATCCGTGTGTGCCGTGATGTCATTACACGGAGATCCCTCGGATATGCTTACATCAACTTCCAGCAGCCTGCTGATGGTGAGCACACTCTTACTAGGGTGTTGTGAATTGAAACGAGAATGCTCTTTAATTGCAGCTCGGTTCTGGAATTTAGGAAACAAGAACTGTGATTTGAGTTTAGTGTATTTCAGATGAAATGCATTAATAATAATGAATTACCCAAACTAATCACCACTTTGTGATTCAAGCACTTCTCTAAATAGTAAATCTCACTTTTCTCCACATTAAAGCGGAATGTGCCCTTGACACCATGAACTATGAAGTCATCAAGGGTCGTCCAATCAGGATCATGTGGTCACAGCGAGATCCAGGTCTGAGAAAGTCTGGTGTGGGAAACATCTTCATCAAGAACATGGATGAGTCTATTGACAACAAGGCTCTCTATGACACCTTTTCTGCCTTTGGTAACATCTTGTCATGTAAGGTACATCCTTTTTCATTACTGTGTTTTTTAAATGATTAGTAAAGGCAGCTTTATCTGCAAGTTGACTGAAATAATTTACAAACAATGTAGTCTCGCGTTGCCAGACCTTCAGACTGATGGTGGTGTGACGTCTGATGCTGAGACTACAAACAATGTAACTAATGTGTTTTTCATCCTAGGTGGTTTGTGATGAGAATGGCTCAAAAGGTTATGGGTTTGTGCACTTTGAGACTCAAGAAGCAGCCAACAGAGCCATTGAGACCATGAACGGCATGCTTCTGAATGATCGGAAAGTGTAAGTATTGACACCAGTGGTTCTCAAGCAGGGAGCTAGGGAAAAACTAGGGGTCTCGGCAAACACACAAAATCAAGATCTTTTTATTTTCCCTCAGTAACTATTGTTTTTATTAAAGAACATACCGTTCAGTCAGGACCACTCTGGCAGTAAAACATAGTTTGGTTACACACAATATTTGGTTTGGCGGTATGGTTCCGTATGGGGGTTCAGCAAAAACAATATAAACCTATTAGCTGCCTGTAATGACCCCCCGGAACCATCAGCATGACATAAATATAATGAAAGTAGGACTGCTTGGGAAGCTTGTCTTGTTGTGGCGATCTGAAACGGAAGAAAAGAAAAACTACTAACAGCCAAGGTGCAGGACATAATATATGGAAAAGTGTACTGATTAGGAGGGTGGGAGGGAGGGTTGAATGTGAGCTTGACCTAGCTGGAGGTGAGTGATAGTGCCACGTGTGTATACATACACACGTACCTGAGATAGGAGAGTCGCTGGGATTGGAGAGATCTGAACAGCTGATAGTCACCTGTTGCGGAGCTCTACCTACGTGGCCTGCCTGAACTAACGCTTGCGCTAGATTTCTGTAATATAGAACATAACTTCTGGAATTATGAAATTAATCATTAATTATATAAAATTACTTGACTGTTATTTAATAAAGGCCTAGCAACAAAAAGTAACAAGCTGCTTTGCCCTCATTAAAACAGGAGTGCCACAATTATCTTAGTGTATGTGGGATATATCAAACATTTTGTTGGGTAACAATGGGCCTTTGAGTAGAGCTGGGCGCTATACTGGTATGAAAGTGACTACCGGTATTATGTTGTTTTATGATATGGATTTTGCTATACCGTGGATACAGTTATATATTCATGAATTCAAATTTTGCATTTATATTGTTTTGTTCAATTTGGTATGCTTTGCAAATTAACACAAATGACGATAAAGAGTCGAGGCTGAATGTTTTTGTCCTCTGTGTGCAACGCTGTACTACACAGGCATTAGTAATCAAACACAGAGCATCATAACAGACCAAATTAACAGAGCACAAATCGCCTACTCCAGTGGTTCCCAAACTGAGGGATAGGGTACCTTGTCTTTCATAAAGGCCGAGGTCAGGGATCTTGGGCCTAAAAAGGTTGGTGACCACTGACACAGAGCATCGTAACAGACCAAATTAATAGAGCACAAATCGCCTACTCCAGTGGTTCCCAAACTGGGGATAGTGTACAGTCAGCAGATTATTTTGCAAAAGAAACCTCTGCAGGGTGATAAAGACTACACGGAGTAATTTTCCAGCTTATGCGGCCGCTTGCCTGATAAGTAAATAATTGAACGCAAAATATTAATTTGACATTTTAATTACCTCAATATGACTCGAAGTACCAGCTTGAGCGCTCCATTATCAGTTGTAGCAGTTGTGGTTGACGTGTCTACACCAGACGTGAGCGGCGCGATGTGACAAAAGCAAATAGAACCCAGTGATGTTCTCTGCTGTGGATGCGGCGCGACGCGACAAATCCGTGAGTAAACTGATGCTGCAACTCCAGCGCTCTGACACAAAGAACAATTTCAAATATTCGTGAGATTCGTGAAAAATTTGTTTCCTCATAAATATTAAGCAGCACAAATGTTTACAACATTGATAATAATTTAGAAATGTTTCTTGAGCAGCAAATCAGCATAGAATCATTTCTGAATGATCATGTGAAATTGAATTACTGAAATAATGAAACGGCAGCTTTGCATCACAGAAATAAATAACATTTAAAAACATTTCTGAAAATTCAGCTTTGATCACAGGAATACAGTAGCCTATATGTTAAAACATTCAAATAGATAATTTAAATTGACAATTTTACAATATTACAGCGTTTACTGTATTTTTAATAAATAAATAGCCTTGGTGAGCATAAGAGACTTTCCAAAAAAAAAAGGGGGTGAGGGGGCCTTGAAAATATTTTTATTCATATTGCAATATAATATCGATATCACCTGGACAGTGTAAAATATCGTGATATGAATTTTAGCTCATATCGCCCACCCCTACCTTTGAGTAAAAAAAACGTCGAAAACTGCTTTTATACGTATTTAGTTTATTTGTGCTTTGTGTTTTGTCCTTGTCAGCAATCCATGTTTTCTATATTAAAAAAATAAATAAATAAAAGAATGAATACACCTTTATTTCTATTATAGAATTGACATTCATAGTGTTTTCTAATTTGTCTTACTACTACTTCCTCATCCTCTCCATGATCTTTTTCCACCAACCAGGGGTGAAAAAACTTGGTCCACTTAGGAAGCAAAGTAATTTGGCATTATTCAAAGTAAGGACAAAACGTTATGCTAGTTCTACCATTCCTATTTGTATATTTATGGACCGATGTATATGTATTTGTGCGTGTGTGTGTATATGTTTTTTATTATTATTTGGTATAGTATTGAATACGTTTTGAATATGTTTTTATATTTCTTGAGTATTTTGTATTTGCTTTTTCTTGCAAGTTTCTTTTGATGTACTTTTCTGCAATAATTCAATCTCAGTCCAATTGTCTATGCACAAAAGTAAATAAACTTTAATCAGCATTTGCAGTTTTGTAGGGCATTTTAAGTCTCGTAAGGAGCGTGAGGCAGCATTGGGAGCTAAAGCCATGGAGTTCACCAATGTGTATATTAAGAACTTCGGTGAAGATATTGACAGTGAGAAACTGAAGGGCATCTTCTCTGAATTTGGTAAGCAGGTTCATATAGGAATATTTTTTTCTTTTCTTTTTTTTCCCCTCTAGAGACATTCATTGGAAATATAGTGTTAAATATGCAAATGCACTAAAAGTATCAGCAGGGGGTTTTAAACTTTGATTTAAGATCTATAATTAATCAGCAAGCACTTTTCATTAGGAGTATTGGTTTTGCTTCTTTTAAAGCTGCCTCTGGTTCACAGGTAAGACCCTTAGCGTGTGTGTGATGACGGATGAAAGGGGATGCTCTCGTGGCTTTGGATTTGTCAACTTTGAAAACCACGGAGATGCCAGGAGGGTAAGAAAACAAATTGTGCAGTATGTGTGAGTAGATATGGAGACTGAAGTCTTTTCTCTCTGTGGTAGGCAGTAACTGAAATGAACGGAGAAGAGCTGAATGGCAGAGTCCTTTATGTGGGCAGAGCTCAGAAAAGACTGGAGAGGCAGGGAGAACTCAAGCGCAAGTTTGAGCAAATAAAGCAGGAGCGCATACAACGCTACCAGGTACATGCACATATGCTAACCTGCAGTGTTGGGTAAGTTACTCAAAAAAAGTAATCCACTATAAATTACTAATTACTACTTTAAAATTGTAATTTGATTACATTACTGATTCCTGCATTTAAAAAGTAGGCTAATCAGATTACTAATTACATTCAAGTTTACTTTACTTTTCAAGTTATCAAACCTAAAAAATACACTACAAAGTGAAACTCAGTTCTTTCATTAATTTAATTTAATATGGACTGAAAAGTTACAAATATTATTAGTATACCCTCGCAATAACTTTTTTTTTTTTTTTTTGCTTTTGTAAAATAAAGAAAACCGATGGGGTGTGCTTTCTGCATTCTCAGTCTCCGCAAACATCTTCCTTAAGTCACTAAAATGAATGAAAATGACATGAGATATATCTAAAGAAAGCTTGAAGTGTCTATTTTTTTTAAATTAAGTCATGTCGAAAACAAATATTCTCTGATAAAATAATCCGTGTGAAACCCAACGCGAGGTACAGGCCATGTCCACACGTACACGGGTATTTTTATAAACTGAGTTTTTCCTTCCGTTTTAAAAAAAATCTCCGTCCACTTGAAAACGTAAACGCATGCTATGAAGCACTGTCAAGAGCATGCCAAACCAGGCTTGAGACGCGCATACATGTAAATGTCCACTTCACCTCCGTAAAGCAAGATTCAAGTTCATCTCTGCTACTTTTCGTTTTTGGAAGAAGATGCGCTGTGAGGAATAAGCCTTGAATTTACCTCAGAAGAAGAATACGATGCAATGCTGCTTAATCCAGCAGAGGATCTCATTCTGATGAGTCATTAATTTTTACTAATATTAGTGTTACTGTGACAAACTTGTACACAGTCACTTGTTGAACTTTTCCCAAACTATAATGCCAGACTAAAATATGTGAAATTGAATGCAACATTTTGAAATATGATAGGCAACCTTTCATTGCATCTAAATGTTGTTGGACTCGTCTGCATTTTAGCTCGCAATCTCCGGTGTTCTATTAAAGGGCATGCTGACGCGCAAAACATGATTTTTACTTCATATTTTTAACACTGCATTTGTAACTTAAGTAACGTAATTTTATTGACATTAGTAACTAATCAAATTACATAAATTTAAAATGTAACGAATATAAATTCATTTGGGTCACATTTTTATGTTGGAAAATCTGAAATTTTATATTAATTTGGAAAAACTACATTTTCAAATAGCTATGTAGCCATTATTTTAGCAAACCTTTAGCCATTATTTTAGCTACATTGTAACACACTTTTCACCATCCAACCCATTCATATTGAATAAATTCTCACCTTTTTTTCCCCCCTCTCAGAGAACCTGTTTCACCCATGAATCATGTATCATTACCTTTACTAAACTTTAGTTACTTGAAATAAAATTTAACTTAAAATGTATGTAATCAAACTTAAACTGAAAATAAAGTGAATAAAAACTACACTTTAAATATTTTTATTTTTTTTACTAAAATGAAAATCTGAAAATAAATACAAATTAAAAATATATTACATGAAAATGGTAGTTCTTATTGACAAAAATGGAAATTCTCACATTTGTTTGTGCAGTCTTATGGTGAGATAAATTGAATAGTCTTGCTTCTTATTTTCTTGTATTTTGGGATAGGTGATGACAGAGGGAGGCCACAGTAGAGGCTTTGGCTTTGTGTGTTTTTCCTCTCCTGAAGAGGCCACTAAGGCAGTGACTGAGATGAATGGCCGTATTGTTAGCACTAAACCACTATACGTGGCTCTTGCCCAGAGAACTTGTACACAGTCACTTGTTGAACTTTTCCCAAACTATAATGCCAGACTAAAATATGTGAAATTGAATGCAACATTTTGAAATATGATAGGCAACCTTTCATTGCATCTAAATGTTGTTGGACTCGTCTGCATTTTAGCTCGCAATCTCCGGTGTTCTATTAAAGGGCATGCTGACGCGCAAAACATGATTTTTACTTCATATTTTTAACACTGCATTTGTAACTTAAGTAACGTAATTTTATTGACATTAGTAACTAATCAAATTACATAAATTTAAAATGTAACGCATTACTGCGTTACCAGGAAAAGTAATTAGAATACATACTGTGTAACGCATTATACCTAACTCTGTATGGCAACTTGTATAAATCTGCAAGCACGGCCAAAATTCAGTATCATCCTAATCATTTGAGAAGGATTTGCATATGCTCAAGCTCAACTGTATGTTGATTTTTCAGGAATATGTTTTAATGCATGCATTGTTTCTTTGATTTTAGGGAGTAAATCTCTATGTAAAAAATCTAGATGACAGCATTGATGATGAGAAGCTGAGGAAAGAGTTTGCTCCTTATGGAACCATCACCAGTGCAAAGGTAATGTAAAGTGCAACAGAATACACAACTTGATAAATAACGTCAATGCTAACAGGACAACAAACTACAAAATATAATAAAAAATGATTCACAAGTTTGATAGGAGTATAATATAAAATTCTTAAAATCAGGAATTAGTTGCGATAGTAAGACATTATAAACATTAGTTATGAGTGTGTGATGTCAGTTGTATAGTCACAATTCTCTTTCCTGCTTTAGGGTCATCATTATATATATA